CCCTAAAAGACTAGTCCGATAGGGGAAGGGTGGCTATCCCTTTTAAGCTGGCTTCCTCCTCCCAATCTAAGCAAGATGGGATTATTCAGAGGCTCACACGGTCGCCGCCCGACTTTTGTGTCTTTGCCAGCGGGTATATAGTGGAGGATGTCCTCATCATTCTCACCCCCCTAACAAGGGCCCAACTCTGATACCAAATGATAACAATACGGCCCAGGTGGGGTTGGCCGAGGCCCAACAAATTAAGGTTGCCCGGACCCCAACAGTTCATAGGCACACCCACTCGGAGAAAGGCCCAATCACCCTAAAAGACTAGTCCGATAGGGGAAGGGTGGCTCTCCCTTTTAAGGTGTCTTCCTCCTCCTAAGCTAAGTAAGGTGGGATTATTCAGAGGCTCACACAGTTGCCGCCCGACTTTTGCGTCTTTGCCAGCGGGTAATAGTGGAGGATGTCCTCATCAGTTTCAGCTTAAGATTATTGTAATTTAGATTATTGAGCTAGATTACAGCTGGATTATAATAAGCCGACATAGAATAAGTTGTTTGCTGTTTGTTTCTCTGGATTATTAGTTTTTTTATTACCTGTTAGCTACCCAATAATCTAAAAAAGCACTAAGCTATCACAATAAGCTATCTGTTTGTTTCAGCTTACTCATAATAATCCAGATTATAATAATCCTAAGCTGAATCAAACAAGGCCTAAATCCCTTGTTCAGGACAAGCTAGGGTACACAACCGACAAAGTTGAGACACAGATTTATGTCTTACAAAAATAATAGTCTTACATATGCAGCGGAAAATATAAAATGAGTTAACTAGATAACAAAGCTCTTGTAGCATAGCGATTCCATTCCACGGGCATCCTTGACGACAGATGATGTGACCATGGCTACTACGGATACAACTATTGCTCACATCATGAATGGACAAGAAGATATCAAGATCAAGTCCTTCAAGTGCTGGAATCCGATTCGGCAACCTACTACACCGCTGACTTTAAACGACAGCCGAATCTGCATACGACCTCCACTTTTGGTCAGTGTGTACTTCATTGAAAGATCTTGGAGTCCTTTTTCCAACGGATCCAGCCTCATCTTTGAATTCCATCTCGTTTGGCCGCATTCACAGAAACAAGGTGTTGCGTCACCTATATTGGGCCGATGGGCTTGTAACTTCGTTTGGTACCCGGCCCATGTGGGGCCCATGGGGGGTGCATCCCAATCTGGTGGAGCATGACCCTAGGACCCTCTTGGTCGTTCTCCTACCCCTATAAGTAGCTAGATACTCCTTCAGGATTTCTTGGGTTTTGTTAGATTAAAGTTTAGCCATTGCTACTTGCTTGCAGCGCGCGTGTCGGCTAGACCACCCGTCTGCTTGTTCTTCGGAACCCCAACTTATCATTTATTCAATTCCTATTTGCAATATTAGATTGCTTTTATCTTGTTCTTGCTTGTTTCTTCGATTTGCTTGCAGGAATAGGGTTGATTTGCACCGGCAGGATCTACAACCCACAGATAGTTGTATCGATCGCTAAGACGCAATGCAACGTCTTGTACGGTTGTAGTTGGATCGTCAGCGTTTCTCCCAAATCATAGTTATCTCAACTTACCGAAAGATCGGGCCAACAACAGCCTTGAGTTTCGAGTGGAACTCAGGGTTCATCAACAGCAACAAGCCTACTCCTCTGAATAGTCTCCATCCGAATAATGCTATGCCTCTGAGGGTTGGGGGGAAAAGAAAGTAAGACTAAGTTCTACCCACTATACTCAACAAGTCATACCAAGAGAATGTATCAAGCGGGATAATTCCAAAGGAAGCTAAAGGTTATTTGATCAAAGCTAGTATTTAAAATCATGAGTTGAAACCAGTAAAACAGTTAAATTAAATTAAACAATATTAAACATCACCGTCTAACGCTACACCACGTTGCAACAGCTCCAACCAAACCACCTGAACTAAACCAGTTTCATTGGGCCATATTTTTAATATGAGGCTAATCACGGTGAATCTGGTTGATCGCTCATAACTGCGGGCACGGCTATTCGAATAGTTTTACTCTAATCAGAGGTATACAAATGTACCCACAAGACACAATCTCACAACACGTTGCCATGCGCCGACATGCCACCACGACATATCGGAAAGAAACTGTGACAGGACCCATCGCATAACCCTTCCTAACCAATCACACCACACCTCAGGTTTTGCCCCCTCCTTTTAGCCAAGTTGGGCAGCCCCCTCTCGTGCCTAGGTGAATCCAGAAGCATCAGAGGTCATCGCAGGACTCGTCCTACTCCATCATGCCCACCCTTGCTCGGGTACGTCGGCTAGGAAAAGCTACACTACAAGCCTAACCGTTGCCCATGATGGCTTGTGGTAAGCACGGTAATTCTTTCAGAGTTTCTTAATTGCCATGGGTGCGTCTAACAAAACTATGCACCCACAGTGCACCATTTATCTTGTTTTAGTTTAATTAATACCATGGTGGTATATAATCATTAACCTTAGAAATAATCAATGTCTAAGTATTAATGTAAATTCCCATAGTGTGTGTTGGTATTTCTTAGCGACACTACTGGAAATATAATTCCCAGCAATAGCACTAGAAATAATCCTGGTATATTATGGTTACAGATGTGATCCGCAAGCGCACGGATATACCATTGTAGCATTTCACTGGGGAGTATTCCAAGGTATTGTATTTATTTTATCCCAAGAGAAGATATGATAAGAGAGTACTATGCTAACAATTCATGTGACATACCAAGAAATTAAAAATATGAAAATCAATTATTTTGAAATCGTTAAAAAAAAAACTTCTAGAGTTGTTCCTTCTTGTGCATTTTTGGCAAAGAAAAGAAAATCAAGATGTGAGGAAGTAATAAATCAGACACGGTCACATAGAGACAATAGAGCATACGAGCACGTATGCTTGAGAATAAAATATAAAAGAAGATGTTTTTTTATATTAAATGTCTGAATGATAATTAAGGTCAAATATAAGGAGTGTTTAATCTAGAGAGAATACCATGACACTTTTAAATATCATCAACAAAACCTAAAGAGTTGGCGTGACTAATTAAATCCTACCCACACAAGAAATAAGGGACAACAAATAAAATTTAAGTTATTGAACCTGGGTACAATAAATAAATCCTATGAAATGGCTTGCAAATTTTTGAACCATGTAAAGCTAGTATGTTGAAGTGTAGGCCGCGCGTTAAGGCAAATTGAGCGAACTAATTAAGCGCGAGCTAGCACGGCCTGCCTAGATCTTAGTGCCGTGAAATCCAAGCATTTCGAGGTGTAATCTCTTGTGCTGACTGCTAAGGAATAGAGTGTGCCCCTATGTGTCGCATGTTTACTTTGGCTTGTTTTTGGATTTTATATGCATCCATAATTGCACTCATATGCTTTACAACGAACTATGGAATTGTCCTGACTAATCTGTGTGTCTAAAAGTTCCAGTAAGCTCAACACAAATACTAAGCATCATAGATAGCTCTCAGTTAAATTGATAGCCCAAATAAACCCATCAAATTTAAATTAATTCAAATTCATCATCGGCTAAACCGATACATCCCTAAGATGGTAAACAAATTAAACAGAAGCATATACATTATATAATTTATTAAAATACTAGTTTATTTATCATGATGTAATATAAATTTTCCAGAATTTATTCAGTCAGTTTATTCCCTTTAAAAATTCAATAAACCTTCAGCAAGAGCCCTTTTGTTTGAATTTCTGGGAGCAAACCATTTCGAAATTTGGAGTGGCATCTTGAAAAATGGAATCTATGTACCACAGCCTACCTCCACAAAAATCACCATAATGTTTACCCTTAAGTATCTTGGTCAAATCGATTTTCAAAGAGTGGGAGAGGGAAAAATCCTGGAATTTGACTAAATCTTGTGTTCACTGGCCTATCTACCCACCCTTCCTCTGTTCGTGGGCCCTGGAAGCACTGACCCCACTTGTCATTCATAGTAAAGCCCCAGGAGACGACCAACCCATCCCCTTTCCTCTTCTCCACACTCTGCCCTCTTGGGCAATTCGTCGAACAAGTGGCGTGCTATGTCTTACAAAGAAGAGAACGAGTGCCCCGGACTTCAATTTGTCCAAGACCTGGTTCCACCATGCGTTCTCGACTCAACCTCGTACCCTTTCCACCCTGGACCAGTCCACAGCCGCCAGCCCAACCCCTCGTGCCACACAGCATCACAAGAACATGGGTACGGCTGCGCCTCCCGTCGGCGAAGACGTTCTGACCAAATCCATCCACCCCGACACGATCTATTGCCATCAAACCTTCTCTGGAAAGCCACTGAACCTTGCTGACACAACGGCACCACCCAGCCATCCCGTTCCATCGCCGCATGGCTTGAGGACGCAAGACATAATCCATCTCGTGAACTCGAAACGTAGGCATCAACCAAACCTCCTCCCATAAGTCTACCACCGCGCCAATGTCTTCCCCTAGCTCGCCTCATTGCGTTCCAGTCAAGCCTAGGGAGGGAACACCTCTGGATCGTCCAGAATGCGAGGGTCATTCTCGGCACTGGCTGTTGGCTCAGCCCAGGAACACTCTCTCACTCACGAACACAAACGCCGGTGAGGGAGACGATGAACAATGGATTTTACAGCGACGAACGCCGCGGAGCCGATCGCTCCTGTATATTGGCTTTATTACTCACTGAACCTTGCAAAGAAACAACGAAGGAGTACAGGGCCTCTTATAGACCGGTGACACACCGGGAGCTAGCCTCCATGCCGGCCATTGCGCCACGTTCCGCAGAACCCGCTCGACGTCGCCGTGAGCCACACGCTCGCCCGGACGACGCGGCTTCCTCCGCAAGAACCGACGCCACGCACACCATGCACACCCACGACTCGATCAACACTGCAACGGCCATGCAAACAACCATGCAGCAGCCATGCACTCGTGATCACGACTCAACCAAACTAACAGAACGCACACGACGCACACATGCAGCAGCACGACACACACTGACTCAACCACGCCAGGAATACACCATGACGTGTTTATTTCCAACACTGGCGAGCACATGGCGTTGCCATCGTTGTCTTGGTGGGTTTCCCTCCAAACCAAGCACGTCACCCTTCTCCCTGCGCCTTACTGACTCCGTTTTCCCCATCATACACAACAAGGAACCGACCGAACATCGCTGCGTCATCTCGGTGTTGCCGTTTTTCACGCAGGCTCAGAGCACGGCCGCTGGATCGCGTCGCCGTTCCCGCCGCCTCTAGGCAAATCCGGATGAGCTGCTGCACCACTAGCTTCGCCTCATCATCCTCTCCGAAACGCCCCAAGAATCCCTAAGAATGGTGCATCGAGGAGGGAGATCGACCACCGTCTTGTCTGACTCCGACCTAGTGCCTCCGTCGTCGATTCCCATCCAACCGGTGAGCCATTGGTCGATTTCTCGCGTAGTAGCAACCTGGGATGGTGTTGTACATGTTGCATGTAATGATTCCGACATGCATGCTATAGATCCAGCCATCGCTGAGTCGCCGGTCTACTCCACCGCCACCCTCGCTGCCCAACCTCTCCGGAGCTCGTCCACCCTTGGCCGACCTCTTGGTAAGCTTCCTGTGAGCATCAGGGTGCTCTTGCATGTCTCTATTTGCTCGAATCGCGAACGCATTGCCACATACATGTGCAGTCCGTGAGTAGCCTAGCTGCCGACGAGTTCCCTACCATTTCCGGCCACCACCGGCTGGGATGAATAGAGAAGCGGAATCAAAAAGACCTTATCTGCATTTTCTCTTTTAACCCCGTTCCCATTCGGTCCGCCGTTTGACGCAGGCGAGCTCGAGATCGAGCTCAGCCATGGCTCTGCTCTGTCCCTGCTCGTTTGGAGAAGAAGACATGACCTCTTTGTAATATAAATAAAAACTCAGGGTTCGAGATGCAAAAGTAAATTCAAAAGGGAAATTTGGAAAAATGAAAAAAATAGGCAAACTTCAAAAATGCATAACTAATTCATCTTAATTCATTTTCGAGTGAACCAAATTTTGCTAGGTCTATAATAATATTGTCCTTAATGATACAAGGTCAAATTTTGCAAAACTAGTGTGTGCAATTCCAGTTTAAAGAGAGAAGTATTAGTTACGTCGTTGACCGCATATAAAATTTTGACCGTTATTATCTCTCACATGCTTTATCGAAAATTAAAATTATTTCACCTAAATTCATCTAAAATCATGTTCTATCTACTGAACCAGTATCATGCATGTTTGCGCATATTTTTTTTGGTGTTTATTTGGTGTTCATTTGGATTACGTTTAAAATTGAATAGATGGTGTATTTGTGGATTCGTTCGTGATGTGAGCAGGACCAGAGAAGTATTATGTGACAACAAATCAAGGCAAGCCCTATTCAATTCCTCCTTCGATCATGTTGAATCCTATATGTTGCAAATGCTTTGTTATTTATAAATTGCATGAGATGTTTTAAACTTGGGTTATGGTAGAACGACTCCGTCTTGTTGCATTGTCTACCTTGACTTATTGATTATCCTTGCTGTTGATACACCTAGGATGGGTTGTGGTGTTGTCTAAGCACCAATGTGGGTATATTCGAGCTAATACTAAAGCTACTTGCTTAGCCATGCTTAGAAAATTTACGATGGTTACAACTACATGGTATTTACTCTTTAAACTCGGGATATTTGGAAATATTGTTAAGAGGGGTTGCCTCTGTTATTTGTGAAAAAAGAAAACTGACAATGATGATTTTAGATTAGGGCGGCAAATGATGTGCATATGGTGGTAGTTGCATATCGACAGTGGCGGAGCTGGAACCATATTGAGGGTGGTGCCCTACTTTACTATATAGATGGCGGCAATTACTCTAAATAATGGTATTTTTTCATTTATAGATAACTATTGACACAAAAAATCATGGAGTAGCAAGTAAAAGTGCTTACCAAAATATAGGATGAAAATAAACCGCGAAGGAGAACATCAACAAAAAATAAAAGACGATCAATTTATGCAAAATACACCCTCGGCCTCAAAGCTGTCAATCTCAATATCATCGATAGGTAATAGCCTACAATAAAAGTAGAAGAAAGGCAAATAAGTGTAGTGAATTTCCTGATGGAGCTCCGGTTTGTGCGGGCGATTCCTGAGGCGATCCATGGAGTCCTCTGATTTTGACCATGGTTACGCCGTCTCCTCCAGGGGGATGGGACTTCTCCCCTGGTGATCGGATTCACGATGAAGTCTTCTCTAGGTTCTCTTCTCCTGTGCATTTCTCTCGTTTCTTCTCCCGTCGGCCTTTTTAGCTTGTGGTCGATTTTCCTCGGGCTTCTTTTCGATTGTGCTCTTCATCTGTTGGGATTGCCCTAAGAGCTTGTATCGGGGGTTCTCCGGGTGATCTATTTGATTGTCCACAAAAGGACCGGAGTTACTCATTTTTGGTTTGCTCTAAGGCCGTGGGTATTTGGATCTATAATCTTTGTTCTTTTATTTGCAAAGATTTTCATGCCCGGTTCCATCTTTGGAGAGATGGTGGCCCTAATTGGCAGAAAGAATGGATGCTCTGGTGCGCTGAACAGAATTCGGAATGGACCCTAGTCTCCAGGAAATCTAAGAAGTTTGATTCTGTTCATAACCATTCTCGAAAAAGTTATATTAAGACTGTTATTGCTGCTAAGCCGATTAATCATCCTAAATTTTCTTCTTCCAAGTTGCTTAATCTTTCTAAAGTTTCTGCTACTAAGTTGATTAATCCTCCAAAGGTTTCAGCTGTTAATAAGTCTAGCAATTTCAAGCGCCCTACAGCTGGTTCTTCAAAGGGTCCGATTTCCAATGCTGAGTCCTTGAATGTTGTTCCTGTTAAATCAGTCTTTGATCGTCTTCGATTTCCGGAGATTGCCGCCGGCAAAGCTCCGGCCCGTGATCAGGGGGGTAGTGATCCGCCTTTCAAGGCGGCTAATCAGGATATGGCAATTGTGAAACGCCCTATGATCCCTCCTTTTTGTGATCGTTGCTTGATGCATGGCCATCGGGAATTTGAATGTGTTAATAGGGTCAGATGTGCTTCCTGTCACAAATTGGATCACCGGGCTTTAGCCTACTGGAATAAAAAGAAGGCCCAAGTTTGGAGGCCCAAAAAGGATTCTATGCCTGCGGCTAAGAAGTCTATTGTGGAAAGGGCAGTTTTAGGGAAAGAAATAATTTGCTTCAAAAATCAAGGAAGCCCTTCCTCTTCCTCTCAAAAGTTGCAGTCTGCCCCTCTTTTGCTCTTGACCTCTTCGCCGAGTGCTCCAATGGCGGTGGTGAACCCTGATCCTGCATTTTTTCTCCCTCTGACGCTGCAGCTCCTTGAGCCCTGGGATCATCAGCTTGAGCGTGCTGATCTTTGCCTCCAGGAAGATCCCCCTAAGCGCAATGAAGGTATGGCTGTCGCTTGCATTGAACCTCCACCAACTCCTGAGCAATATGAAGGTTTCAGACATCTGGTGATTAACTATGTTCAGAATGTGCTGGGCTATCATGTGTTAGAAGCTAGCCGTCACCCTATTGAGTTCATGTATGTTCGTGTAGCTTCTGCTCTGCTTAGAGATACTCTAATAGCTGGGGGTCCTTATGAAGTGGATAATCAGTTTATGCTTCGCTTTGTTCCTCATGACCTTACTTCCAGTTGTCGCAACTCCCCTTTCACTTCAGAGGGATGGACAATGTTTTTGGATTTCCCATTGGATTTCAAAACTCCTGCTATTATTGACAAAGCTGTCTCTCTGTTTGGGAAAGTGATCAAAGTTCAGTTAGATGATAATGTAAGGGGAAGATTAATGGTAAAAGCTTTGTACTCTTCCACTCTGGAGGTCCCTAGAAGAATTGTTATTAAAAGGGCCACTGCTTTCGGAGGTGTTGGAAGATCTTGGACGGTCTCAGTCTTTCTATGCCATGGAGAACTACCTGATGTTATGCCTGGGGATGAGGATTTACCTCCAGTGAATCATATTCCCATCCCTGATCCGGTGCAGCTGCCGGCACCACAAGTGGATGCTTTTGGGGATAATATGGAAGAGGATGCTCCAGCTATTCAGCAAAATTCTCAGCCTCTTAGTGCTGTCTCTTTGGTGGCTGGAAATCTAAATGTTATGCTGCAGTCTCAGGGCTCAATTACTCTTGAGCAACTCATGCAGCCTCGCTTTCTGGTTAATCCGTTTTTTTGGAAGATGTTAAACGCTCTGAATGCTGCTCTGTCAAGCTGGGAAGATTACGTGCCAAAACCTCAAGTTACAAGTGCTTTCAGTCTGTTGCCTCTTTCTCCTCAGTGGTCAAGGGCAGTGGGTCCATCCCAAGAGCTTCAAATTATTTCCTACTCTTTGCCTATTACCCATATTATTCAGTTTGCCCTCTTAGCAGCTGTTCTGCTGGTGGCTGGGAATGAAACTGAGGTTGAACAGGCTGAGGGAGATTTGGGACATGAGTATATGAATGAGGCGCATATGTTTGAAGATGCTGAAATGGTTGAGCCCATTTCCTGTGTGCTCCCTGAACAACAAGTTTTACCTCAGGATCCATTCCATCAAAGTGCCTCTTCCTGCCTGCCATCTTTGAAGAAATCCAGAAAGACTAAAGCTAAAACTGTGGCAATTGTGGACACTGATCGTAGGAGAAGCTCCAGAATCAATAAGCTCACAGGGGGTTACATGTCTCCTGATCCCAAGCAGGGGGTTGGTAAACCCAGGGGGAAAAGTGCTAAAAGGCTTAAGCTTCTGGCAGAACAAAGTGGTATAATCTCCTTCCTCCACCCTTTACCTCCTGAGTTCTTTGAGACTGATGACAATAGTGACTCTGAGAGCCCTCCTATTGAATGCTCTATTCAGATGTTGCAGACTATGGGCACTAATCTTTGTGGGCTGAAGGAAAATGAAGTTTCTGCTCAAGTTCTGACCACTCCGGCTGGGCTAGGGAGTGGATCTGCTGCTACTTCTACCCAGTTGCCATGATAGGGAAAACTTTTCATGTCCTTTATCTGGCTGCGACCAGAATCTTATGGATTGTAATAATACACTGGCCCAGATTTGTCCCTTGGATATGGGGTTGCACCTGTTTGATTGTGTTTGTGGTATATACTAGTTATTTACCACTTCTCTATCTTTTATTCGTTGTTTTAAATGAATGGATTGCATAGAAACTGGAATTTTCTGTGTTGGAATGTTAGAGGTATCAACTCTGACGCAAAGTGGAATGCTATTAGACAGAAAGTGGAGGAAAGCGCTTGTTCTCTTTTTTGTCTTCAGGAAACTAAGAGAGAGGTCTTTGATATGGCTTATGTCAAAAAGTTTTGCCCTAGACGCTTTGACAAGTTTGCTTTTGCCCCTTCCAGGGGGCCTCGGGGGGATTGTTTGTGGGCTGGAATAGTGCTCATTTCAATGGCCATGTAGTGGCTCAAACAGATCATTCTATTATCATGCATTTTTCTTCCAGTCTCAATACTGACTCTTTTCACCTGGTCAATGTTTATTGTCCATCCTCTAGGCCTCAAAGAGATGAGTTTGTTACTTGGATGAATGACCTTCACATTGATTCTGCTTTAAACTGGATCTTTTTGGGTGATTTCAACTTTTATAGATCAATTCAAAACAGAAACAGGCCGGGTGGTGATATGAATGATATCTTCCTGTTTAATGATCTCATTAGTAATCTGGGATTGATTGAAGTTCCTTTGAAGGGGAGATCTTTCACTCGGAGTAACATGCAAGATAATCCCTTACTGGAGCAGCTTGATTGGGTTTTTACTACTCCAAATTGGTCAATTACATACCCCAACACGCTGGCTTTGGCTCTGCCTAAGCATATCTCTGATCATGTGCCACTAAAGATTCAAGTGCAGACTTCCATCCCAAGAGCGAATGTCTTCAGATTTGAAAATTTCTGGGTGCAGCATGATGGTTTTCTCCAGCAAGTGGTCAGAAGAAATCTAAAATGTTGGAGTAAACAGCTTTCAAAGCTCTCTTTGCTAATTGATAATTGTCATAAAGTCATTCACTTCTTGGACATTGTAGAAGAATGTCGTTTGCTTTCAGTGCCGGAGCTCATTTTTAGAAATATTGTTAAGAAACAAGTTGTTAATCTTCTTCAGTACAAGCATGCCTACTGGAAGAAAAGATGCAGGCAAAACTGGGCTCAATTTGGTGGGGAAAACACCAAATTTTTCCATGCTATGGCCACTGAGAGGTTTAGGAAAAACACAATCACACAGATTACTTCTACTAATGGAGTTGAAGTCACTGATCATGAAGGTAAAGCTGCCATTGTTCTTGAAGCATACAGATCCAGGTTGGGTGTTTCAGAGTCCCCCTCTATGTTTTTCAATTTGTCTGAACTATTTGATAAAAGGGATGATTTGGATGACTTAGTGCTGCCTTTCTCCTCTCAAGAGATTGATAGCATTATAGCCCATTTACCAGCAGATAAGGCTCCTGGGCCGGATGGTTTTAATGGATGTTTCTTCAAAAAATGTTGGCCAATTATTTCCTAGGATTTCTATAGACTGTTTGCAGATTTTCATGCTAGTATAGCTAATCTGAATGCTCTGAATTACTCTTTCATAACTCTTGTGCCAAAGAAGCCTTCCCCCCAATTTGCACATGATTATAGACCTATTTCTTTGATAAATAACTGTCACGACCGGAAATAACCCAACGGGCGTTCCTTACGTGCGTTTATTATTCCTTGTCCCAGGAGGCAAGGAATAATACACGCACGAAAGGAATGCCCGTTGGGTTAATTCCGGTCATGACAAGTAGTCATCACCCAACTATTGTTGTTGGAGGTATACCACGAGGACCTTCGGCCGGGCCTACCGAAACCAAGGACCTAGGCGAGGACTCAAGCCGGAGGCAAGCGGTGAAGGCCGAGGAGGCATCCACGAGGAGACAACATGGGTGAAAGCCACATGGCGAAAGCCGTGGCATGAAGTACACGGGATTCGCCGAGAATGGACCTTGTCAGAGGGTCATACAGGCGAAGACTGCGAGGCGAAAGCCTTCCTGCGAAGGGCACGGGTTTCGCCAAGTACCGAACCTCACTGGGAGAAGGCCTAGCGGGCCGTTGTGCCTTTTCGGAGGTTTCGCTAAGGATTGGGCCAAGCTATTTGGCCCATTAGGGGCCCATGATAATGTCCCTAGGTAACCATGTAAATTCCCCTGTAAAGCCTAAACCTAAAGGAGGAGTCTGTAATAGGGCTATAAGTAGCCCCATAGGGCCATGTAACAGGGGGGATCTGAAAAATTTCTACTAAGCAATACAATTGTCTTTATTTCCAACCACAGTTAG